ATTTTCTTCTACCATATTCTTATCCCAAATGTCTCTTTTAATTTCAGGTTCTACAACATTTATTATTTTAGAAATAACTTGTCTCATGATTTTTCTAATAGCTTTCAATTTAATAATATCGTCTGCCATAATAACAACAAAAGTAATTTTATTCTCTTACCTGGTGCAGGCTTCAAATGGTTAATTCCTAATTTAGTAACTCACTTTCCTGAGGAAACACATACACAAGTATTCTTAACGTTAATCCTGCCACGTTCAGTGCAAAGGAATAAATTTTCACTAACACGAAAAACAACGCATTCTAAATCAAAAAAAAAATTTTTTTCGTGCCCGACGTTGGGCGCCAAAAATATAAAATATTATATTAACTGTCAAGAATTTCAAGATATCCTGGTTAAAAAAAAAAACTAATTCAAATTACACATAACATAAATGAACATTACGAATCAGATTTCTAAACTGCCAAGTTTATTCACGTCTAACACACATTCAACTGGCGGTGCCAGATCCAAGAGCAAGAAGTATATATATATATCATGAAAGATTTACGCCCTCTTTGGCGATTAAAATATATTTCCACATAAAATTTCTTACAGTCTTCACTTCGGGTTAGGTTGGGATACTGTGTTTCCAGACTGTGTTCGTAGGGGGTTTCATCACTAGAAGCGATCCGTGTTCCAGACTCAGAATGTGAGTCATATAATTCTCCCTCATAAATAATATCTCTCGCATCGAACCGTAACTCAGTGTGGGAATGCTGCACGAAGGATTTACTTACTTCCGCGTACAGTGTGGGAATGCGCCCTTCGTGCAGCATTCCCACACTGTGCGCGGAGATCTTGGCTTCTCCTTCGGGGTATTTGTCGAGCAGAACGTAATTATGTTTTTTGTGGGTGAGTGCTTCAACTTCATTTTTAATTTGTTGCAGCGTAGGAATCCAGGGCTGGGCGGCGACCGACGTTCCCGAAAAACTGTAGGTGAGTACATCATCATCCCCGAAGGCGCAGCAAAGTCGAGCTGAAACGTATTGCCGTCGATAAATATTCAGGTTTACTGAAATGGATAACCGCACAATTCCCTAAATATAGAATCTGCTTTTTCTTTGTCGTGAAAATAATTAAAATAGTACAGTATTAACTAATCGTCAAAATTTTCAATCATTGTGAGTATGGTAAGCGTGACTGCCTCGAAGTACAATCGTCTTGGTTCAAACAGAAAGAGCAGAAATGATGAAAAAAACGATCTAGTGTCTCTCTATATAGGCTTTGGTCAGGATCCAGGAGAAACAATCAGAAAGCGCTAAAGGTAAGACTGCTGCGCTCTAGCGGTCGTTGCTGAACTAAAAAGAATGCACTAAAAATTCTAACATGTATATGCATGCTGCAATCAGGTTGCGGATTTAGTATGACATCAGAGCAGTGAGGAGTTCTACGTCAATCGATAAAAGTGTACATGAAACCGGATTACAACACAAACAGGATGAAACATGTGGCTGACGTAGCAATAGCAAGATAATCCGAGGTGACAATGCATGATGACGTCACGAACAGGATGCGATGCGCACTGGGTTGGTGACGTAGCAACCCGCACGTACTCCTCGGCAGATCCCTACCCCCTGTGAGCACCTCAGGAGGCTTTGCCTCCCGAGCGCCTCAGCTCCACCCTCTGGAATCACTCTGATCTCTGATGCCTGTGGCTCAAAACCCCCCTTTTCTATCTACTGAGTTTGATATACATTTATTAATTTCTCTTTTTTTATTAAACTTGATTCCTTTCACATTTCGAAATTTAGGTTCATTCCAAATAAAATTCACCCATTTTTTATGATTTATTTTTTAAATTTGTGTTTTTGAATAATTTTTATAAATTTTTCAGGAAACGTTTTGAATTATAATGTATAAAATTTTTGCCATCATCTTAAAATAGACGTATTTCTAAGCATACCTGCAAAACATTACAGTTTTTTAATCAAAATTTCCGAAGATATGCGTGAATTTATATATTGGCGCGTTTTGAAATTTGGCATATTTGTTGAAAGCGGTAACATTTATAAGTTATGTAACATTTATAAGTTATTTGGAAGTAGAAACGAAGTGACTGTTTTTACGCTCATGCACAATGTAAAAAAGTAGGGACGATGTCCCTTTCTTCCCGCTCTGGCATAATGGAAGGGAAAGGAAAATTAGTTGCCACATATTAAAAAGTTCGCCATTCTTGGCTCAAACTGGAAAATTCCGCCAAGATAAATTTTTGAATTTCTCCGTAAATTTCGCACCAAATTTTACAAAATTTAATATCTAGGCATAATTTGAGACGTAGAATCGAAATATGGAAAAACATTGCTATATTATTTCAGAAAAAGTCCGACTTTGTGTCAAAATACCTATGTTAGAACAATGCTATATATAAATCTAATATATATCCTAAGTCGCGCTTTCAAGACATGAAACACGCAATTTGAATTTTGTCAATGGACCCAGTAGAACGGGAGATATAGAACTGTTCCATTTTTTTTTTTTTTTCGCAATGTACATCATTCAAATTCTAACTAAATTATATACTAATGTACGTTTGTAAGATTTTAAGTTTTACTAACGTTTATTTTATTTTAAAACTATGCTATCCTCTCTTATTTTCCATTTCCAGCCAGAATAAGCGCGCGTAGAATTCATTATGCTAATGAGGTTGCAAACTGTATAGGTATTTAAGATGTGGCTTTTAGCCAAGAGAAGAAAGAGACTTCTTGCTGCCTTATCACGCGCATACTTTTCAGTCAGTTCATGTCTGCCTTTAAGACATGAGCTTAGTTCTCGCTGATATTTGAATACGTATCTTCAATCGTCTTTTGCAATTCGCTCACTACATACGTAGTGTCAAAAAGGCCAATCTTCGCATTACTAGTCTCCGTAAAGCATCTAAGTTTAGTTCTTGTTTACACTCATGTCCATAAATTAAGGATAATGCAAAATCAGGCAGAGGAAGAGTTAGACGCAAAACAAATTTGACTTGTTCGTAAAGCTTATTTATTAAACAAAAGGTAAAGAGCAAAAAAAGATGCAATATGTTTGATATTATTAAAAAAAATAGCGATTTTTTTCTCCCTGGAGCAAAAAAAAAAAAAAAAAAAAAAAAAAATTTTTTTTACAAAAAACCAATATTGATATGTATGATGTATGTTGGTATGATTGTTAATACATTGTATGTCTCCCAGACGATGCAATACAGTCCGTACAACGCCTAGGCATGCTGAGTATCAAATTATCGATCTGATCTTGGGGGATATTACAGCACTCAAAAAGCAATGCTCTCCGAAGTTTCGGTAGACATGTAGGAGGAGGTTGACGGGCTGCAACTCGTCGGCCAAACATGTTCCACACGTGCTCTACTGGATTCAAGTCCGGTGAGAATGCTGACCAGTCTATACGGGTGATATCCTCCGATTCAAGGCATTCGCTTATGATGTTTGCACGGTGAGGACGGGCGTTGTCATCCATAAACACAAATTGCGCCCATGGCGACCCAAAACAAACGTTCATGTTATTCCAGAATGACGTTCCGATAGATTTGGCTTGTCATGGTTCCAATTTGAACATTCAGGTCAGTTCTAGAACCCAGAATATTTCCACCCCAAGCGAGCACTCCTACACCACCCTAACGGTGTCGTTCAGTGATGTTTTCTTGGTGGTAACGGGTAGCTGGAGCTCTCCATATGAAAATCCGGCGAGAATCAGACTGCAAGCTAAACCTGGACTCGTCGGAAAACATCACACAAGCCCACTGTTGCGGTGTCCACAATGCATGCTCTCTACTCCAGGCTAACCGCAGGCGACAGTGAGTTGCAGTAAGTGGAACGCATCTGACAGGTCTACGAGCATATAGACCAATCTGCCCTAAGCGTCTGTACACAGTCTGCCTTGAAATTGTCGTACCAATGGCTGAAGAGAGCTGACGAGACAGGTCTGAAGCTGTGCTCCGCCTGTTTCTTTTGGCAGTAACTGCCAAATACCGGTCCTCATTCGGCGTTGTAACTCTGGGGCGAACTGTGCTGTAACGTCTACTCACATTACCATCATCTTGGAATCGTTGCCAAAGCCTGGAGATGACACTCTGGGCAATTCCAAGTTCGTCTGACACTTCCAGTTGGGTACGCCCATATTCCAGACGGCCGATAAACTACCACGTAAAAAATCATGCAAATGCGTCCTTTGTGTCATAATTATTCGGTTATTGCACTGAAATGCTTATAAAGCGCCTGCGAACAATTTTTCTTCTTTGCCTGTATTCCTTATATATCACTCTCTTACATTCTCGTCATTGTGACGTACCATCGGTGTCATCTGGTTACTTCCTGAAATTTGCATATGATTCTTGAAGATATGTGTAGTGATTTTACAGGTGATATATTTATTTTAGAGTTCGATTTCCGCGTGACTCCAAATTATCCTTAATTTATGGACATGAGTGTAGTTAAGTTAGTTTAGTTCTTATTTTCTACGTTTTAGAGCATAAGTGCTGGTCTCTGTATTCCGAAGTGTGGCAACAGCGATACGCTGTGAGAAATAAAGGGTAAATTTAACCCTTCTTATCTTTGTTGTATTTTTTATACACACACGAACATAGTTTTGAGTAAGTTCCCTGTTCCTACTCAGGACTCCTGTTATGTTTCCAAATGCAATTAGGAGGAACAGCAGTCCTAACAATTTCATTCATTTTTCGTTCGTCTTCATGTTCTTATGCAGCATATTTTTTTTTTTTTTTCTGCAAGGCTTTTGTTCTGTGAGACGTCACTATGTACGGAATTTCTTGATACAAGACGTTTGAGGAATAACGTTTCATATTTGTGATTAAAGCTTTCTATAAAGGAAGGCAAAAGATTAAATGCAATATAATGAAAAATAGCATCTTTAAAAAAAAAAAAAAAGAAAGTTTTGAATAAAGTACCACGTACCCCAGACACATATTTACACTAAATTTATATGTTAAGAATTATAGAAATTTAACAAAAATAAAGGGGTATTTCATTATACTTAAGCATTAATGATTACAAAGATATAACGTGATACATGTAATTACCTTATGAGCATCAAGAATAACACTTCTAACAGATGTCAACATTATATCTTGAACCTGCAATATTGAGATTAAAATCTACATAAGAAACTGAAATTTATCAATTATGATATTGATATTATTGCTCCTCAACATGATACATGAATATTATCCAATACTATGTAACAAACTGTCATTCTTCTCTTGTTGCAAATAAAGTAATATATTCTCATATACAATGAAATGCGCGATTAAAAATATGGCACAAATTGATTGAGTTTTATATTTAAAAATGTATATTAGAATAGTCAAACGTACTGAAGAGGAGAGAAAAATCATAATAATTAAGATTCAACAGTCAGGCTAAGCAATTTTTTTTATAGTTTATTTTGAAAGGTACAGCAATCCTTCCTAAGGAAAAACGCGGGAAGTCATTCACAGGTTCAGGGAAATTCGCAAATATTAAACGGGCATTACATAATCCTTATAAAAGAAAGGTTAATTCATTCATTACAAAATGTTTTATTAAAATTTTACACAAAACGAAAGAAAATCCAAGTTTAAGAAATTGAATAATTTTCATTCCATATTACGTCCCTAGAAAGTTTTCCACACAGGATGCCTCATCGAGGTAAGTAATCCACCTATGGACAGATGTAATAATTAATATATATCGCTTATCAATATTCAGAAGGTTCTCTAAAATAATATTGTAAAAGATTTGGTATTCTCAACTTTACTTATGGAATTCTGCAACTGGATTTACATTTTGGTGTTTATTAACTATCTGCATTTCACAAAATTCTAATATTACGAATAATAAAAGCTCTAAGTATACAAATCTAGGCAATTCAATTAACAATTACCATTCAAGAAATTAACAGTGAAATTTAAGGAGTTTGATGAAGACATACCTCACTGATCAACGAGAAATTATCACAGAAATATATTGTAATTTATCTTTATAACCTATAGAAATTCAAAATATTGTTGGTGTCAGCCAATAAGTAACGAACTCGTTTTTTCATCTCATCAGTTCCTTTTTTATTATTTTATTATAAAAGTAGCGAAATTGGATAGATCCATTCCAAGTTGTAATACCTCGGCTTCAACCAGCAGCTGCGATAGCACCAATAAAGTCGCAGAAACAAAACCAAAATATATCTAGAATATTTTTATAACTTTAATTAATAAATAAATTGTATTTATCTAATAATATTTTAATATATTAAATTTATTCATAAATCAAAATTCTTGTAATTATTTTTGGCTTGGAAACCTGTTATCAAATTTCTTTCAAGCTCTTGTAGCCGGGAAATATCACAGACTGATAAAAACTATATATTTTATGCATTTTTGTCTAAGTATTGTTAGAATTAAATAATATTTCTATTCCTTATGTTTCGCATTGTTCTCGTTCTGCAATAAATATTAAGAATGTGCAACGTTTGTGTTGCCATTATTAAAAATTCATGGATGCTTCTAGTAGAACTGTTCATTTAATTCTGAAATATATTTAGGAAATAAAGCTGAAATTGAGGATGAATCGTGGCTGAGCCCTAAATCATAGTTTTCTAATATATTTTTAGCGCCTTGCTTGAAGGTTTATTAATTAATTAGGCTTAATGAACTTTTCAGTTTTACTGAGTGTCTCCTACACCTGCAACAATTACATATCAGATTTTCTTTGAACGTAATCTGTAAGAACTAAAAATGTATAAAACTATAATGGCAGTTATTGACAGTTTGTAATTTTTGCTGCCTTGGAAGACAAAAATATGCATGCAACTAGTACCAGCTTTTGTGAAACATTGACATAATTCCGTGTGATCCATGGAAATATGCCTGAAAAAATATTTGTATATAAAAAAGAATAAAAGAAAAAAAAAAGAATGTTCTATGTTTGTTTGAAAACTTACTTAAACAACCAAATTTTGAAAGGGGATTCTTAATTTTCCCATAGGTTTTTCCATTTACCCATTTGCTTCTCAATACCCCTGGACTGATCTTTGGACCAGAAATATTCCCTTAGAATTTAACTTCGACTAATGAGCAATACCAGACGATGCAAAAGAAGAAGGCGGCAACCAGGGCCGCAATCTGAGAATAATAACAACATCCATGCTGGGAAAATACCCATTGATTACCTATGTGAAAAATTTTATGATGATTTAATAGCTACTTAGATGTTTTGTTACTCGATCAGGCAAACATGATGTTTGCGTGACTGGTTTTATATTTATCAGATTATATATATAGATATAGATATTAACTGGATTTCTTAATATATTTATTTATATATATCAGGATCTCAGGCAAGAACAGGAAACTACTAAAAAAGAAATTTTGTTAATTAAAATTTCAAATGTCAAGTTTTAAAATTTGACAAACTGAAAAAAGCAAAAGCAAGCTCTCCGCTACAGACAAGTTTTATGCTAATAACTAATAACTTTATAAATTTTTGATGCTATATTTATACACACAGGATGTTTTCAATGAAAACATTCAGTGCAAAATATACATGAAATATTTTCTTTTTACATAATTTGAAATGCTTTAAAAATTCAGTTTCTTAGTAGTTAAAGTAATAATGTTGATAATTTATGAGAAAATAAGTTATTACGTATTTAAAAGCGAATAAGAAACACTATATAAAGATAATTGTTGTGTTTCTATATTATGTCACAATGTCACAATGTACCTGCTGAAAGAAAGGTATTATATATCAACTTCAACTGCCCTCCTACGCATTTTATGGAAAGCATTGTAGCCTTTTCCTTTTTTATATACAAGAGGTCATCTTCTAAACTGTAGTAAATATTTATTTAAAAAAATTTTCGTATAAAAGGTAGCGAAACGTTTCATGAGCTATCCAAAGATATATCAGCAAACAAGTGCAGTAATACCTGTAAAAGCCACTTTTCAACTTGTCCTCTAGCTTCTTTTGTGGAAATCACGCTTGCAAAGAATACCATTTCTCCTTCACTGCTTAGCATGCCTCTTATTTTTAAATCCTCATCAAAATCTAAGCTCGATATACCTTCAAAACACTTTTTCAAGTGAGGCTGAACACGCAAAGGATCTTTGGTTTCGGATAAAATCTCCAACATTTCATCATTCGACAAAAAGAAGAACCTAAAATAAAATAATGCTTTATGAAATAATTGATTTTTAGTATTACTTTTTAAAAATGCTTATATACATTTCAGTTATGCAGAAATCATTTACCTTTAAACCTAAGAAAATGCTACAGTACCAAGGGGTTAATAATTCTGAAAGATTTCAACTTCTTTCAATGATAATAGAATGTGAAATTTGAATTTTCAATGAAATTTAAGAAACTGACTTCAAACATTGAGAATCATAGGACATAATTGAGAAATATATATCCAAGTTCCAGAATTATATCTGTTTATCTAGAAAAGCTGAAGAACTTCATTTCATCAGAGTACTTCTTCCGCCTTCTTAGCATGACTTCGTGATTTAATAGCCAGCACACTCCGCGTGTATTCGAGAGGTCCGAAATTCGAGTCCCAGCGAGAGCATTGCTCATTCTTCACGTTTCCCAGCATCAAAAATCCTAATGTCCCTATAGTGGCGCCCGAATTTAAAAAAAAAAAAAAGTGGTGGATGATGATTCTCCTCCACCTGGATTTGGCGATTGGGTCCTCTAATTCCCAGGCGCCCTTTAAAATGGGAATTATATAAGACATTTCTCCCGCCTTCTTAGCATGCCTTCGTGGTGTAATGGGCAGCACACTCTCCGCGTATTCGAAATGTCCGAGTCTCGGCAAGGGCATTGCTAATTTTTCACGTCTCTCAGCACCAAAATTCTTAATGTCTCTACAAGAGTAAATTCTAAGATCAGAGGAAAGTACCTGAAGATGATGTTAAAGTGTTAAAAAGCACATGGATGATTTAGCTATGATTTTTATGTTGAAATGTTGAAAAGCACTTAACATCCAAATTATGTCCAAATCAACCATTTCTAAAAAAATCTTCCTTTTGGGTTCTGTATAAATTATTCGTATTTATATTATAGAAAAATATAGCAAAACTACTAATAACCAGCATCTGTGCTAAATGCTAGTTTAAGTTGTAGGTTTGCTATTGATCTGGATCATGAAGTTAAGTCTCGCAGTAGCTAACTTGACCTACACAAGTTAGTGAGTTATCGCTATGTCTGAAATATTATGGCAAAGTCTTGACAAGATTTATTTATTTATTTATTTATTAGTTTTTTTAATTTAATCTGAACTTTTAATATAAAAATCACGACTTGTGCTACAGACAAACTACCACTTGTGGCGATGTAAATTAAGCAATAACAGACAGTTCAGTTTGAACGCTGACAATGTAGTTAAAGACTACATAGTTAAAAAATAAGCTATAAGCTGGCTCAATTAATTTTGCTGGCGCGTGCAGAATTCCCTGATCTCAGTATTTTATGCCTGCTTGGTGTATAAAAAAAGACAGAACTGGAAAACGCTTCTCATCTCCCATCATAAAATGAAACAATCATTGTTTTCCAAAAACTATACTTAAAAATACCTTTAAATATTGAACAAGATATTTATTGCATGAAAAATTGCTACAGTATAGGCCTATAAAAGAGGGCCTACACCGTGTTAATAAATAATTACACACTAGATGCAGATAATTTCGGTTCCAGTGGCCAACCTCAATACACAAGATCCAAGTATTAAAAATCAAGTGAATTTAAAGGGAAAAACTTAAAGTTGAATGTATATAGTATATATGAATTTAAAAAACATTCTGTATTCGTAGTAAGCAAATTTAAAGTTAGTTAAATACTAGCCATGCCCTAATTAGAATTCATGTTAAAAATATCTCTTAGAATGTTGGCTGCAATTAAAGGAATATTAAGCTGAAAACTTTAAATGAAATTTTCTGTGTCTTGCGTTTCTCATAGACACTGCAAACACTGAATTTGCAATATAAAAGAATTATCTATGAATAATTTCCATTATGCCAAACAAAATTAAAAATACTGGCTTTATTGCAGGCCTAATTTTCTTTCAGCTCTTTTCGCACGTTTGCAGTCCCCCGTTATGAGGCGTATTACTTTATAGATAATAAATAAAATCTCTTCCTTATCTCAAACAGTTGACTTATCTCAAACAATAGACATCAGGCTGTTTGTAAGTGGTTTTAAGGCCCATCTAAAGACTTTGAAGGACGATTCCCTTCATAATTTAAGCACTTGTATGAGTGCATAAATGTAGGGGACTTTGAAGTGATTGAAGACATGATCTAAATGAGGCAAGCTTTTATTTCATCATCCAATTCCTTAGTTTGCCATAGAGATAAAACTTAGTAAAAATTTCTTAACAAGATTCCACTATACTTATTGAAGGTAATATCACATATTTTAGTCTATAACTGAAGTAGTCACCAAAATTGGCAAAATTAATCAGCAAATCTGTAATGCGCAAATTTTAAATCTTACCAAGCTTTATGTTATGCCTTGGTTAATATTACCATGGCAGTGCCCATGTTAAAAAGGAAGTAACACATTTTTTTTTTCACTTAGCATCATTCAAATATAAACTGTTTATATATATATGTTAGATTTGATATAATCTGGAAGCAACAATTTTGAGAAATTGAAAATATTAAAAAATGCACAGTTAGGATAAAAATTACAGTTTTAGAATAGGATGATTTGTTTAAGCACATAATAATATTAATTGCAAGATAATAAGCGTAGTGAAATTCCCTTAAAATATAATTTTTAAAGTATCATCCAATGTAATAATATTTAGAATTATTTCGATAATCTTTATGAAAAATATGTCTAATACAAAAATAACTTACGACAAAATGAGTACAAATTTAATGCAGTTTTACCTCGGAAAATACAATCTTTTCATTTCTAAATAAAAATTTAAGCCTTTGTTGATTCTGTCCAGCATTTGATTACAGTCACAAAGAGTAGAATATGTTTCAGGTACAGATGTATTGCTCAAGACCTGAAAATTAGAAAATAAAATATTACTTTCTTTAATAGAAAAATGTTTCTTAATTTTTAAAATATGCTCCCTTTTTATCAATTATTTATTAATGCAAATTTAAATATTCTATATGTATTACTTATATATTTGAAAATATTTTAACACGAAAAACATTAATTTTAACATACATCAATTTTTTTTTAAATTTCACACAACTTAAAACAGGTGACAGATTTCACAAGAAATAAGCAATCAATTGTAGCTGTTAGAAAAAAAATCAATTCAAATCAAAATATTATATTGAAACTACTTTTCAACTGAGAACTTAAAATGTAATATAATGCTGAAAGAGATAAAAGAAGAAACAATCTAAATATAAAATGTAGATAGTAATAAACTGAAAAGTGATAAATAATATATAAATATGCAAAATATAATAAAATATTATAGCTGGTTTTAAAAATAATTGCCGACCTCAAAATTAACATTCTAAATTTGGTGTTCTCCCCCTAAATTCATCTGTTCTCTCAAATTCTAGATTTTTCTATGTTATGTAACGCTACTGAAAAGGGCAACCAAAACTAATATTAACCAATCATAGCTTGTCTCTAGAATCGCACCTACTCGCTACCTTTGGCAGCTAAACTGCTAAAATATCTCCGCTGCTCTGCTTCTCCGTCTAAAATGCCTGCGTCGTAATTTTAAGAACCAATGTAAATAGCAATCTATTATATTTCATTATGATTGGATAAATATCGATTGAGATGATTTTATATGCGTGGAAATAAAGACTGGAAATTCGTCAAGCTCATGTTTTGTTATCTTCATCTGTAAGCCTTCACCCTCAGCCACAACGAATGCAAGCTAATTCCTCTTCTATGTTCCTGAATTATTACACATATATAAAAAACACTAAATAATGGTAATTTACCATTGATAAATTAATAAAATAAGTAAAGTTTATCGTTTAAAGAGTTCAGATCCAAGTTTATTTTTTAAAATGTTTTTGACTATTGCCCTTTCTAATGCTTTAGTTTAAAGGTATCGAACTTTAAAATGAATACGAAATTTAATTTATGTAATTTTAATGATGTTCCGAATTGGGAATACTGGCAACTTCTGATTCAGCTTGCTATATAGCTTGCCATATTACATTTTTAAGACAGGCATATGCCTTTTTTAAAAATTAATACGGCAATAAGTGGATTAAATAATAAGCAAAGTAGTAAGGAATTATTGGAGATTTATTTTTAAATTTAAGCGTAAATGCAGCTAAAAATAAGAATTCAGGTAAAAATTTATAAATTTAAATGAAAATATTGTCCATTTTTACACACAAATTGCATAAAATTTTATTTCATATCTATTTTCCATGGTACACTGGAAAACAGCTCAAGCGTAAAATTTTTTTGGTCATTCATTACATTCTCCTCTTGCATTTATCCTCTTGCATCCCTTTGTGCACATCTACCCTAAGTTATTGCTGTGAGATAATGATCATAACTCTCTTGCTGTAATATTTATATATGATAGTGAACATATGATCTTTGGTTGTGATTGGGGTTCATCCTTTCTTGTTAGAATTCGTACTAGAGCATTATAACTTACCGACGGAACTCCAGACAAAAGATATCTAGCCAAGACAGCTATACTTAAACCGTTTGAAAATAAATTTTACCACACTTTTTTATTGCGAAGTTGGGAAGGTAGCTGTTCAACATTCTATTTAAAAATCAAATCCACCCATTCCAAAATTATATTTATGAATCAAATCTGGTTATAGTATCCACTTTTTTCTTTTTTGCATATGAATATGTTTTAGTTAAATGGATTATAAGATCAGACAAATAATTTGAAGAAACAGTCAATACAGTTTGAACAGCATATAAATACAGATTCATAACAATCAAATATACCTCTTTCTGTTTTTTCACCCTTTTTAAAAAGGCATTAGTGGACAGTTTGGGTTCGTAATTCTCTGACAGCTTTTGTAGTTTTTATGTTCCGATTTGCAAATGCCTTCATCAGATCATTAGAAGTATAAAATTATTCAAAAAAAAAAATCTGAAAGTTTTCAGATTTTATATTACGCTCAAAGGGGCATTTTTTTAACGTTTTGTGTGTTACCTCTATTTATTAAATATCATGATCTTTGTACTTAAACCATAAAAATCCAATTATATAGCACTATCACGAAATAATTTCAAAAGAGCCTATCTTTAGAATTTCCGATACACGGTATCGTGCGCTGGAGATAAATTTTTTCCCGTACATTTTGCCATTACTCGCTTTGAAATTGTCGATTAATTAATACAGAAAGCTATGATTATACATAGCTTAGATGACTGTAAAAGGTAGCCATAATTCTATTGAAAATTATCACTAAAATTAGTACAAGAGTACATTTGTTGGCAAGACATTATTGTAATCAAATGTATCAATTAATATCTAAGTAACAAAATTTCTTTGTAGTATCAGCATTTCACAGTGAATTATAAATAATAGTCCATTGGAATGAAACATTTTAACATCCTTATTCAAAATACTATTATAAAATAGAATTCTAAATTGTAAACATACTTTTTTGTAAAATTTAGGATAGGATAATCAGAAAACAACTGCTATGAAAAATAGGTTTTCAACTAGGTTTCCTTTCTTTAAAATACACAATTGAAAAATTAGAAAATTAATCTAAAAAATTTATGAAGTAAAGCTATTTTATTACAAAAAATGAGGAAAAATTATACTATTCTAAAGTTTTAAAGCTGACAAAACAATTTTATCTACTGAAAACTATTTACAGATGCTATGATTTAAATATAATCCTAGTTAGGCTATTAACATTTTACTCAAAAACAATTAAAAAATTCCATAGGAAGTTTAAATAAGGAACCCAAATCTTTTTAAAGCAGAGCTTAAAACATTTTAAAATTTCAATAATGCAATTAAACTCGTATATTTACAATTTTTCACAGAATTGCCTAAATATTCTTACAAATTAAGATATTACTAAAAAAACAGTTTAATTAAAAACAGTGTAAAAGACACTATTAAATCTTTTTCATATGAATTGAAAGAGAAACTGAAATTAAAGCAATTAGAATCTCTAAATGAATAAAAAGTATTTACTTTGATAGAAAAGTATTTTGAATATTGAGAATCTCATGTCCAAACTAGTTTTACATATGCATACATACATATTATACGCATGAATAAAAGAAATTTATATTTCATTACATTAGGCTTTTCATGTGTTTCTTTCATAACAGTCCTCCATAAAATATCCACTCTTTGAAATAATGATCCTTCTCTTGGCATTTGCTGTAATATATCAGCAGACGAGAAAATTGGTTCTAAATACAGCCATTGCATTTGAACTTTCAACCACTCATCAATAGTATCTTGTGTTAATTTTAGGATGTCTTCCCATTCCTAAAAATAATTTATGATAAATTAATAAAAATAATTTTCCTAACAATAATAGTTATTAGTATTAGGAATAAATACTAATTCCCTAGGAATAAAAGACAATTAATGCAATCAAAGATAGTTTAGTAACAAATTTTAAATTCTTAATAGGGTATATTAGTTATCAAGAATCTATTTGTATTAGATCCAGTTTTCTGTCATTCTAATGACAAATTCACTTAAGGCACAAAATGTTTTCTTGTAGATTTACTCTCAACATTAAAACCTACCGCTGCCAGAATTACATGAGTGATAGCCAAATTGTCATTGTTTGCAATCTACAATAACATATTATAATTTATCTAAAATTTCAAACTCGCTTCTAAAATACTGAACTAATTTAGAAGGAGGAATATTGTCATCTTCCTCCTTCTTTGTAGGATAAATAAATAAAAACTGAAGATGAAGTTTATATTTTACAACAATGCCTAGTCATTTTGTAACCCTTCTCTTCCTCATTACCGGATACTAAAAGGCATAAACAACAAAAAATGAAAAGCTAAAAAAAAAAAAGAAAAAGAAAGAAGCAGAAGCAGAAAGAGAGCAACAATCAATGGAAGGATATCAATGACCATTAGATAGAAAACTTCCTACAAACTACTAGGACTCTTAACAGAGGAATAGTAAACTAATGTGACTTTGTAAATAATACAGATTTTCAGATCTAATATTTGTACGTAATAACTGCTACATTGAAACTGTGCACAACTGAAATAGTGACTTTAAGAATAATACATTATAAAAAAATCTAGTGGCCAAGAATACTTCATAATTAGGTTTAACTAAATTTCTAAAATAATAATACATGATATTTCATTATTAACTTGTATTATATAAGTGTGGCTAATTACCATCAGAATCACTTAATTTGAAGCCACGATTACTTTTCAGTTGCACTGAACATAATTACCAATTCCCAAAATATATAATGATAAATTTTCTGATTTTAAATATTCCAAAATTTCATTCATATGTGCCATAAATTCCTCCTTATTGTTACGTGCATTTGTATGCATACTTAAATAAAATGTTAGGTGTGTTTTGGGATAATTTGCTAAAAGTCTCATTAGCTTGAATTTTCAATGACATATTTTTTTTCCCTGCTCGAATTACATGAAGCTGACTGAACATATCTAGTGCAATTACAGCAAATGTTGATATTACCTTAATTTCATTTTCAAATGGTTTTGCGAATGGTGAACCCCGCATAGCTTGAGTTTTTACAATATGGTCATCAAGAAGTGTCTGGATTTCATCAACAGAAGATAAAACAAAGGTTCCACTATCTCTATGAGGAATAGTTATAAATTCAACATCTTGCCACTCTTCTTTCATTTTTTTCAGAGCTCTCTCGAGGCCAAGTTCCTGTAAAATATGTGGTATAAAAAAATTTATTGTATAAAAAGCATTCTTGAAACAAGAAAGATGTGATTAAATATCCAAAACTTTTAAAAGGAAAAATGAAACTGCTAAAAATTAAATTTTACTATACTTTAGAAAATTTTATTTTTAAATTATATTTATTTTTAATTTAAAATTTATTTTATTTTTATTTTTAAATTAAATTACATTTTAATTTTTTTTACTGAAAGAATGCTATCTATCATAAAAATTCTAGCAACTTAGTATGTGAGAATATTAAATTAAAACATTATTACTTGAAAATCTATCATGGAAATCTACCATGGATGGGACCATCTATAATAATGCACTAATGCATTATATGATCATATCTAGTCATATGTTATTTATTTATAATACAAGGTGAGTCACAACAGCCTCTGGGATTTTAGTGCATTATTATAAATCAATATACATAAGGTAATATTGCAGGGTATTATGATTATTAACCATAATTTTGCCTATATTGTCAATTCTACTTTTATTGGCTCCCAGAATGCCAGTTAGTTAATATAGGTAATTACAAAGTTCATGAATTTAAGAAGAGCTTTCTGGAGTGGCCATTGACCAACTTATACCTATTTTCTACAAGCTTTGATTTACTTTAATTGGCTTCAGCCTTGCTAAACGAAACTGCTCCACAAATAGAGGGCCTAAGCCAAAACTTATAGGTATGTTTTGTCTTGTAAGTCTCATACTTTAATACTTTAAATACTTGCATTTCAAGTTAAACTTTCGTTTCTGTTAGTCCCACATGTTGCAGACACTGTTTCTGTCATCGCACAGGTTTTGTAAATTATTAGGCTGACAAACCAGTAAAAAGGTTTATTTCATATTTTATTCACCACTGGTTGTACTGGTAAGAGAGTAAAACAAAATGGTAATTTGCCTTATCGTCTTCATGGAGCCAAAGATGAAGTAGATATATTAATTACAGCCTACTTGTGGTAAATGAAAGAGAATAATTATAAAATATCCTACAGATTTCGAAAACACTGGTTGTGTTTGCCCTTTAAAACATGGAAAATGTATATACCATTAAACCCACTGAAAGTGAAATGCTTCATGCTCATTTCAGTAACACAGAAAATAAACCCTTTAACATTTATCCTAAATGAATTCGGGCCCTACTCATCCGTTAACTATATGGTTAACCTGAGTTAAAGCGTTGTCTAGTTGACCTTAATACATTATGAAGCTGAAACAACATATCACTTTGGCTATAACTCAGGTAGATGAAACAGTATTGAAGTGAATGTATATTGAAGTAGATTACAAGATAAACATCTGCTGTACCATGAAGGACGGTTATATGATGAATTTGTAAAGTCTATTAAAGATGCTAAACATTTTATTTTCCATTATCTTTAAAACAGCATTCATACCCTCTGGAAACATTATTACTGCCTCTTTTTGCATTACGCTGTAGTAACCGATATCCAGATGATCATTATGATTCATGCTGTATATCACAAGCATTAAAGATTTATTTCTTGGAAGTACAGTAATATTTTTGAAAGAATATTCTAAAAGAATTGATTTTCCATAGCAAATGAGAAATTTTATAAAATAACAGCCACATTTTAATTTGAGAAAGGATAAAAATTAATAATAAAAACTTGCATAATGTAAGTAAAACTAACAGGATGTATTTCATTGGCTGGACCACGCCTTCTTCCTTGTGCGTCAGATTCTTGCAAAAAGAAGAAGATATAGCTGGACTTTCAAAGTATAGCCTGCTACTTTTAATTACATTATTCCAAATTTCATTACTAATTTTCATCCTCTCCCAAGTTAAACTTAATTGGCATGCCAATTTTTAACAAGAGCTACATCGAACACTATTTGCGTTTAGTTCAACTTTAATTTATAATTAGAGCGGTTTTATGCAGTTCTAAACATTATGTAATAACGTTACGATTTTTGTACATACGGAAATACTTTTAGTGAAATTACATGTGAAACTATAGTACTTTATTTGTACAATATAATCTGAAAAATCTAAGAAGCGAAGCTTTGCCAGAAAAGTAACAATACAGGAGCAAGTCTTTTTAACAGAGTAAATGGCTATCTCGCTAAATTGCCGAGATATTGCTAAGCTGGCGATGTCTTGGTGAGAAATCGCTGAAAGTGGCCAAACATGGCCACCATTTGGTTACATTTTGGTCCGATCTCTATATAACTGTAATGTGTATTGTGATTGAATAACTGCATCTGATGCTATAAGTAACTTTAACCGGATCGGGCCTTCACATGCCTTCCAGTAATTTCGCGAAGTGGAAGGTACTAGAAATCTCTCGGCGACGGTGAGAAAAGTATATAAGACCTCGGAGAGCATCAGTTTCTCAGTAGTTTAGTTCAGTGTGAGTTCGGAGTATTGCGATATCCCTTTGTGAGCTTCGCTCTTTAGATGCGCCTTGCATTGTGTTGTTTTTAACATTCTTAGCAGTTTGAAGTGTAAATACTGATTGCACTCTGTGATGCTGTGAACAGCTGTACGAGTATTTTTGCGGAAAGTTAGAAAACTTTGAAGTGTTCCTTTTAGTAAAATAAATTTTATCAAGCTATCATCAATTCTGTGTGCATTCAATTTATTACGAACCGGTATGCATGCAACAATTTCTGGTGTCAGATGTGGGACTGAATGCCGGTGACAAGAGCAAGGTACGTAACTAAGACAGCTGGTGATTGTCTTTGATGCATTGCAAGAAAAGATGTAAGGGGCCGTCAGCTTCGTTAAAAAAGAGATGACAGTAGGCCAAGAAGGGATGAAAGCGGGCCTAGAAAGGTGGAAGGGACTGTTAAAGGAGATATGAAAGCAGGTCAAGAAATGAAAATTCGAAATGAAAAGAGATATTACTGCCATGATAGAAAACAAATTCGAGTCTATGGAAAGCAAAATAGATATGGATAAAATAGCTGGAGAAATTCTAGAAAGAGATTTGCTGTTAAACAACAAATCGAAGAAAGAATTTCTACTTAAATTTCTACTTTTCTACTTCTTTCCATAACAAATTGATACCAGAGTTTCTGCTGCTGCCGCCAAGGAAGTTGACAAATAAAAGAAATCCATAACGACAGTTGGGCACGCCTTTAAATTCAATTATATGACGTGATGACCCTTTTTAAAGCTAGCCACATATGATAGAAAGACATCCTGGCATGTCTACAAGATTCTCCATAATGGCAAATGCAAATATATGGGATTCCGAAATTAAAGCTTGCCATATACGCCATGAAATTCGAGGCAGCCCAGCAACCAACTCACAGAGACCGTCACCGAATTAGAAATGCTCATGTCCGGGAGCCACTGGATCAACTGACTGCTCGTTTATACGATTTAACGAAGCAAATCAATGATTTGGGATGGAACAAGAGTGACAAGAAACGGACCCTAAAGTGCTGGAACTGCAGAACACCCAAAGGCACAGAAGCTAAGAGCACTCCCAGCAAGGAGGAAAACTAATTAATGGCCATTTCCGCAGAGCGGAAGTTGCCAGATAACGAACAGCCCCGTTTTAAAACGCTTCGTCACTGCTTTAAATCGCAGTGATGGCGGCAGCAATAGACTCGTTTGTACGAACATAATATACACATCAGAGAAGTTCCTTGCAATATGACAATCGGTACAGGCACCAATGTTACCATCATCCGAAAAGATTTGGCTCAACAAATGGAAGGTAAACTCATCTGGAAGCCGCTCTGCGTTAACCTCCAGACTGTATTCGGGGGATTTAATCGACATCGATGGAAAATGAAACGTTAACACTGTTTGGAAGTGTCGCCTACTATCACAGGGAACATGTAGCAAATATTACAAACTCTTGCATACTCGGATTAATTTTTCCACGGAAATATAGTTTATACTTGAACTTTAAAAGTAACGAACTGCATTCTGCCTCTGAAGACACAACCCTGTTTAGATTTAAAGATGAAGGAGTTAAATCCGCTCACTAAATAATATCTGAAGACGATATCACAGCACCAGCAAGAACATAATTTTTTATCCTGGATCCATAGCTGAAAATAGAAATTTCCGATACGTCATAGTAGAATATCCTAAGAACTGCAACAGCCGAAAGGAGTACTAATGGGCTCAGCACTCGTCGATCTATTGAGGACCATCTTCCGCTCATCTTCTGCGTATGTCGAACCAATATGGCTCAGCATAGAACTGATAAAGGAGATATCCACCATTCAAGCACATCCAAGACGTCTACCGTTTGCTAACCAAGAAGAGCTAGAAAAACTTCTAAAGGACATGCAAGAAAGCGATGTTCTCGAGACTTTGGAAAGTCCTTGGGATTCTCTCATCATCCTGATCAAAAAGAAGTCCGCTCAGCTAGATTTGGCGTTGACTGTCGCCGGTTAAACAAGTTTGCGAAGAAAGACAACGTTACGAAGAAAGAGGGTGTTTTCGAAGATTGATTTAAAGAGTAGATATTGGCAGGTAGAGATACACCCTGATGACCGAGAAAAGACAGTATTTACTACCGAAATATGTAATGTGCCGGCGATGTTCGAATGCTTTATGGAGACCGCGTTCAGAGGACTTTCCTGTCTAATATACATAGATGACATCATCATCACCGGGAAAACTTTTGAACAGCATTTAGAAAATCTTAGAAAGGTGTTTCAAAAACTGAAAGAAGCCAGTCTAAAGTTAACTCCCGCCAAATATAAATCATTTACACAGGAAGTGACTAACTCGGACATATCATCTCTGCCGAAAGTTGTGTACGGATCCAGAAAAGGTGTCAATAGATAAAGACTGGAGACGCCCCGAAATTGTCCATCAGTTGAGAAGGGTCCTGGGGCTTTTCACCTACAACAAAAGATGTGTGAAGGACTTTTCTTCCATCGCAAGACCTCTTCACAAGCTGATGTAGAGCAAGCAAAAGTTCTTGTGAATAAAATAATGCGGGGACGGAGAACCTTATTTAACAAACAGAGGGAAGATTTAA